GCTGTGATGCTGGAACTCATTAAATCTCATTTTGTGCTGAAGAAAACAATAGGGGAGCATGTAGTACAGGGTGTATTTTGAAGGAGATGGCTCTACTCGGTGTGTGTATGGGATACAGGGCAGGACTGCAGTCACTAGGGTGGGTTGCAAATTGTCTGCCAGATCTTAACCTACAGGAACATTGCCTTCTTAGAAATTTAGGATGTTCTTTGTTCATGGGTTTGTCTTTGCTGCTTAGATACTGCTGTCATGGCTGGAATTTAACTGTTTCCTTCTGGAAAATTGGAAATGGGCTTCTGCGGATCGAGTCAGACTTAATCAGCTATTCTCCAGCTGTGCCTGAGTGAGAAAGGAGAGCTGCAGAGCTTCCTGCTCTTCAGTCCTTGGGGGCAGCATGGAGAGCAAATGGGGGGATTGATTCCTTTTGTGCAACTGGACAGATGTCTGATCCATCTGCTGCGGGGCTGATGCGAGCAGTGAAGACTCCAGAACAAGTTCCTCCCTGCTTGTTTGTATTTGACATTTAGTAGTTACAGGCTGGGTTTTTTGTTGCCTATGTGCAGCTGGTTCCCTGGTGGTTCGTGCTGTCATTAGGAGCTATTGCATTAGGAACTGTCAGAGCAGGCTGTGAAGCTTGTTAGCTTGAATGGAAAACCACTTAACTTTCAATTGCTGTATGGTTTGCACTGTGGGGCTGCACTTTACTAAGCAGACGTAATACGGCTTGCGATTGGCGTCACACACTGGGGCACTTGGGTGATGAATGACAAGTAATGCTAAATGCTTTATCACAGTGTCTTTGCTCGATATCTTGTGGGCTTTCTGCTGGTGTGCTGCTCAGTATATGTTTGATAGGCAGCAATTTGTTTAGAGCCACATTTTTTTTTCCACATCAGTCTCTTAATGTCTCCTTTCTTTTGCCTGCTGCTGGACTTCAGAATCAATTGTTTATTGCTAGGCTTCTTTAAATGTTCTTATCAATGACATTATCACTTACATTTATGTGTAGGCTCCACTTTTGGCTCTTCCTTCGGTTTTGTTTTGTGTTTTCCTGACATGTTTCTCCTTCTGGGCTTGGAACAGCACTTCAGTCAGCCTCAGCCAAACTACTTTTTTTTTTTTTCTTTCTTTCAGCTGAAGCCTAACCCCTGTTCTGTGCATGTGCAGCTTCTTCTCCTGTGTTTTCTGCCTTCAAAAGTACCATGTACAATAAGTACCGTATTATCACACAGTTCTATCATCTGAAATAGGAGTTACATTCTAAAGAGGATTCAGAATTTACTTTTAAAGACATTTTAGTGACTTTTTGTTCTTGAAAAAGCTACTATAACTATTCTTTAACATGTGGTGTGTGCCTTATTTTTAATGTTAACCTTAGCTTCTGGCCACTAGATCATGGGAGCTGTTTGTCTTGCAGATTGCTCAGTCCACTGGTGTATGTGGAGCACAAATCCTCACTGACATTACATTTAAGCAGAGATTCAGCAAAGTTTAGGTGTGCTCCAGACTTCCTCAGTTACTTTTGAAAGTGGTTTGGAGCCTGGCTTAGAAACTGGCAGTACCCAGGGTTATGCTGGTATTCTGAAACAGGATGGTCAGTGGGTAGAACACACGCTTCTGTGTAGATCTGATCTTGGTTTCAGTTCAGTTGAATGTTCCTGGTTAATTTCTAGCAGTTAATGTGTTGCTGTGTTGAGAACAAGCCACTGTATGCAAAGCAGTCCGTTTCTTCCCTTAGGCTATGGATAGGGCTCCAACCTACTAACCTACAGCATAATGCAGTTGGTGAAAGTGAGAATGGTTCCTAAAATCATGGAGTCGTTTGAGTTGGAAGGGACCTTTAAAGGTCATCTAGTCCAATTCCCTTGCAGTGAACCTGGACATCTACAGCTAGATTTGTCTGCTGCTGGTTATTCAGCCACACTGTAGCAATCTTCCTGAACCAGAATGTTAGGAGATTTCTAATATTGCACACTGAAATGTATGGAAATACACTGCAGTGTATGGAAAGACAGCTTGGCTTTGTTCTTCATATCATACCGTGCTGCGTTGTTATGAAATTGCCTTTGAGTCTGAAGTCAACACCTACCTCCTGATTTACTGATCTGTGCACTGGGAAAACACAACATGCTGTGCTTCCAGTAGCAAAGCTGTTTTTTAATAGTGTAAACAAAATAGGGATGAACCATCTAACGCTTTCTTGAACAGGAAGGTGGCTCCTCTTTTGCTTTTCTGCTGTTCCCTGGGCGAAGCGTTTCGCTGATGGCCTTGTTGCTGTTTTCCCTTCTGTAGAAGGTTGGCAAATTCCTTCACTTCTTTGGGCATCTCATTGGGAAAGTGGATTTTGGAAAACATGCTAAAAATGGCAGGTTGGACTGGGAGCAGATGCACAGCATGGGTGTGAATCAGCTGTTGCCAGTTTACAAAGAAGGCTTGTTGTATGCATGCCCTCTTGTCCTTTTAGTTTTTTTCCCCCCCTTTTTTGGGTTGGGTGCATCCTCAAACTTGGCTGACAAAGGATTTCTGACCAAATGATTCTGAGCACATTATCTTCCTCCTCCACGTTCCCTGGGCCCTCTGCAGGAGAGGGGAAATACTTCTGAACGAAGTCTGCTGACAGAGCTGTGGGTGGAAAGAGGACAAAACGAGTACGTGAAGAACTGCATATTTTCACTGCACTTCTAAACAAGTGGCAGTTTGTTCTCCAGATAAAGGCACATTTCAGAGGAAAAACCTGAACAGTGAAAGTGGAGGGTTTTTGGTCTTTTCCTGTAGGTGTCAAAAAAGAATTCTTGTCCAAAATAAGGAATATCAGGGCTTGCAGGCACATACCTATTAGCATGAATAGGTGACAGGCTGAATCCCAGGTGAGTCCTCATGCCATACAAGAGCACATCTCAGCCAGAGAAACCTAAAAGGTGAGGTCTCAGTGGAGGGTTTGTATTCTGACTTTGGGTGTTTCACCGGTTCATTCAGTGAAGAAAATGCTGCTCCCATGCAGGGACCCCAGCATGCAGAACAACCTGAGTTATGCTGGGTGAAAACTTTGGCTAATCAAGATCCAGGACAAAGCTAACTGAAGAAGACAAGGGCCTCTGTGCTTAGCACTATTCAGCCTTCCTTTACCTTGTCTATAAAGAGTATTCTTGTGTGAAATGTTGGGGGGATGTTATGTAACTAGACTTTTTTTTTTCTTTTTTGTTTGCTTTCATTTGCTTCTTCATTTGCTTCTGCTGGATGCTTCTTCCAGCATCCAGGCTAGATGTGGCCCTGTGCAGCCTGGTCTACTGGTTGGGAACCCTGCATGCAGCAGGAGGGTTGAAAGTAGATGGTCATAATGGTCCTTTTCAACCCAGGTCACTCCATGACTCTACAATTCTTTTTCTATTTTGTTAATGTGTGCTAAGATCTTGTCTTTTGCAAATACCATGAGCCAAATAAAGGCTTTTTGGGGAGGAAGAAACTGGAGGTGCCATTCTGGAGAAGAGTGGAGCTGGTCTTATTGCTTGCAACTGACACGGGGCTATCAGCTCCTTTCTGTGCTCATGAGCGTGTTCTTCCCCTCCTTTTTCCTTGGCTCTGGCACTCATCCATCCCATAGATTATTTATGCTCACTGCTAACCAAACACAGCCTTTTTTTCTTGCCAGCTTAGTTTTCAGTCTGTTTAGCAGCTATCTTAGTGATGCCCAGTTCCTCTGCAATGACGAAGATGGAAAGTGTGTGGCTGGGCAGAGCGGGGCGTTGCTCCCCTGGCTGCAGCCAGCTGTTGGGTAACTCAGCACACAGCATTTCCCACAACTAAGGGACACCCTGCACCCTGCTTGTTTCCTGTGCAGTTCTGATTGTGCACAGCAAACCCTTGTTGTGCACAGATCTGTATCATCTTTCTGTTCTGTGAGAATGCAGAAGCTACTAAGTGAAAGCCTAGGAAGAATAATCTTTGAGCTTTTTTAAATTAGCTGAGTTAGTATTGAGATGTTCTTTGCCTGGTAGACTTGCTTTTCCAAGGCTGTCATCAGTGCTCGAATTGGTGCTTTGCAGTCATGCCTGCTTTGGTCATTCTTTAAGAACTTCCCAGTGCTGCTGACATTACTTTGTGCTGATTGATATCTGTGAAAAACTTAATAGTCAATTATCTGCTGATTAAATCATGTCAACCAATGTCTGAAGGGGTTGCAAAGCACACACCTGGAAAACAGGCTTAGGCATCCCATGCTGGAGCAGAGGGAGCAATAAAACCTGGCTCTGAGGAGACTGTCTTTAATCCAGCTGCACACACACAGAATATAATATCCAATAGATTGTGAAAACAGAACTTGCACGAGAAAAGTGTTACTGGCCAGTGATTCCACTTATTTCTGGGTGTGATTCAAAGAGGTGGTTTACTCCATAAAATGTGGCTTGTCACACGAGGTGATGTAATTCACACCATGGTTGGAGAGAAAAGAAGCCTAATGCTTCTAGGGGAGGATCTAAGCTATCCTTGTTTTGTATGCAGTAAAGAAATGATTTATGTTCAGAACTCAGCCTCATTTGTTCAATATTCAATTTTAATTTCCTCTGTATTGAGTTTGCTAGAGCAGAGTCTGATTTTTATTAAGCTTGTTGTCCTATGCTTGCAAGTCGCTGCAGCTCCCCTGTTTTTTCCATTTCCCCTTCCTGCTTCTCCAGTACTAAAACAGCTGTAGCACCAGTATCTACTGAATGCCCTTCCAAGAGTCCTGTGTGTATGTACACTTTACATTTTGGCTTGTTCAAAGACTATCACAGTTCCTTGTGATCATGGGGTATTTACAGCCTGCCATGAGGATTTTCCTTCTCTATCAGTCTCATGGGTGTAAGGCCTGCGTTGCTGCCACTGCTTTCCCTTCAGGAGACTCTCCAGCTGCTGCCAGATCCTCCTGCTTCTCCTCCTAGCAAATTTCTATTCTGAGTGTTCATAAAATATACAAATCAGCTCTTCTAGTTTAAGCTAATGTGTCAAACTATTTTCTCTAGGCTCTGTTTTGGATATTATAAAGCACATTGTGGCCAAAGGAGAACACAAGACCGGTGTCCTGGATGAGCCCTGTATAGCCACGATCCTCAAGGAGGTGCTGGAGGGGCTGGACTACCTGCATAAAAACGGACAGATCCACAGGTATTTTTCATGTTTCTCATCCCTGTCCTGAAGTGTGCACCACTGGAACAGCAGTAGAGCTGGGCAGCCCGGACTGCGTATGCTCTTAGGATACAGAGAATGGAAAGGAAAGACTGGGGCTTTACTAGAACTCAGAGTTCAGATTTCTCTGTGACAACTCCTTCTATAGAAAATATATGACCAGGACAAGACTGGGTAAACCTTGAGGTATCTGAAGTTCCTTGTATAGCAAACCTTTTTCCAAATGTCCAGATCCAGCTACAACGAGTGATTATTAGAGCTGGAAAAGCTTCAGCTGGTCTCATTTCTTGCAGAGCTACAAATCACTCTCTATGAGTGCTGCGTAAGAAATGTTGGACAATTTAATAAGGAGTCCTTCAAGTCCCAAGGTTGTTTTTTGTTCTTTTTAAAGGCAGGATGCTGCAGGGTGAACATCATGACATTTAAATTTGGCTGTTTTCCTTTAAAAAAGATGGAAACAAAATTAGAACTGAAAAACTGTTCTGTGGACAAAACCCAGTTAGTTAACTAATGGCCATATGTGGTTTGATGGATCACTGAAACGTGGGCTTCTGTGCTGCTCTGTCATTTGGGGTGTATTTTTAAAGCATGTTTTCCTGTCCCCTGGTGTTTCAAGGTGTGGCATAGTTTAGAAAGAGAGGGTGCTGATTCAATACATTGTGCCATTTAAAAAGATAAATAAATGTACAATCTTAAGTATGCACTGAAAATAGAACATATGGCTTGTGGGTAATATACGTCATCCCAGCCACACGCTGCTGCTGGGAACAGCAGCCTCTTCTTTGGGAATTCTGTGAGCTTGGTTGTCTTCTGGTACAATGCCATTATAAACTTGCTCAGCAGCACAGCAGCAGCAATGCTTGTCCTCTTGCTGCTCGAGAAGAGGTAACTCATTCTACCAATGTGTTGTTTTAATTAGAAAATCCAAGAAGCATTCATTTCATCCTTTTGATCAAACCAAATCCCACTGGCCTTTGTGGGATTGTTTCTAGTTAAAAAGAAACAAAAGGCTGGAAGCAACTTTGGGGTGGTTCATTTCCCTTAAAGAAATCTCAAATTTCAGTATCCAGTCTCCGTTACAATTCCTATTTAACAATAGTTAAATTAGAATAGTTGTTTTTGCTGAAGACAGTTCTGATTCACAGCTGTTCACTTAACTTTCATTTTTAGAAATGACTTCAGGCAGCTCTAGGAAGGTAATGCAATAGAACAGCTTACTTGCTGAGCAAGGGTGATTTTGCACCCTTTCCATAAATAATTGACCCAACTCTGTTCATCTATAACTTCCAGTTGATTTTTTTGCTCATTTAGTTCGTCTTGTTGTCTTCATTTTTTTTCTGAAGATGTCAGGTAGGGATTTCTTACAAAGAGATGTTTCTCCATGTGCCTTGCTGTAGTGGAACAGCAGAACTAGTAGTCGTGGTGAGGATTGGAGCATTAGCTACATGGATGTGTGTATTGGGGCAGCTCCAGCAGTGAAGTGTTTGGATTCATGCTTTGTGTGGGTCTGGGAAACCTCACTGTGCTGAGAAATCTGGAGAAGTGGTAAGCTAAGGTATGGAAGGGAAGTGGTGTGTAGGTTTCCTACCTGTGAAGCAATGGATGCGTTTGTAACTAATGGCTGGGAGCAAGCTTTACATGCCTCTGAGGGAAGAGACGTGCTTCCTTAATGGAGTTAATCATACTGGTTTGTATTTGATCCAGATGTGTGGGATAAAGCAGCTTAAAGTTATATGAGGAAAGGTCCCATCTGCACTACATACAAATGTCTGTATGGTTTTCACATTTGCTTTACACAAGGGGTCATAGCAGTGGCCATGCCTGATGGGGAATGCAGATGGAAGTCTTGCCAAAGATGCTTTGAGAGGAAGTGTTTAAAATAACTAAACTTTGGTCCCCTGGGCCAGCTTAAAGCATCTGGCTCTAGAGGAAGCAGCATCAGGTGATGGCTGAGCTGCTGAGCTTGGTGTCTGTGATGAAGGGCAGAACCTCAGACCAGAACACAGTCAGCTGTGAAGGGTCAGAACTGAAGTTCTGACGTTAGGTATTGAACGACAAACCCAAGGCAAGCAGCAATCCAGCAAAGCATGGAGCTCAGCTGGTTACAAATGCAACTGGGCTGTTATTTAGTGTGTCATACCTTGGTGAGAATGACAAATTCATTAAATTAGAGACAAGGTCTGAGTGGGGAAAAAAAAACAGTTAGCACACCTGCACTTGGACAGGCAGGCTATTGACAAAGCCCTAGGGATAAGTGTGCGGACCCAACTGTTGACCTGAAGTGGGAACAGCTTGTTACTGCTGTAAGTAATCAGTCAGAGCAGAGCAAACGTATATCCGATGGTGGAGCTCAGTGCTTCTAAATTATGTATCATGTTAAATGGGTAAATTAAGTTAACAAGTGGAAAACTGCCTTAATGAAATTCTGCTGCTGCTGAATCTTACTGTGTATAAGCTTGTCTTGAACTTAACGCCGCTTCCAATTAAGGTTTGGGGAGCTGGCTTCACAAGGGAGCAAAGGGACAGGAGAGTGGTTTGACAGCATTCTCTAGCGGAGATCAGAAAGGCAAATGTCTAGAGAAGGCTTAAATTCTATTTTTCTTTGTTTACTTTGCTAATTAACAAGCAGAGCTAGGCTGAGGCTTGAATAGATGCCATTGTTCAGCAGCAAATGCTTTGGTTTCCCACGTTGTTCAAAGCTATATCTTTTGCAAGCGTTGAACAGCATCTGAGGCCTTATGGGAAGAACAGAGGAGGAAGCAGAATAGGTTTTTGAAGCAGTTAACAATTGCAGATAATTCCCATCATCCTCCAAAACCAGCGCTGTCTCCCCTGTCTCAGGGCTGACAGCTGTGCCCGAGTTGCTGTGTCCTTGTGCCAGCTGCTGTGGTCACCACTGTGGGTTGCTGTGTCACCTGGCGATTCCAGCAGCGCTCTGAAATCCCAGTGCTCAGTCTCATGCTGAGGGAGAATGGACTTGGAAACCTTTCTGTGGAGCTGTCCTGCGGGATCCTGCTCAGCTGCTTTTATGGAAGTGGACCAAGAGCAATGTGCTGTGCTGCGCTCAGGCTGATCTCACCCGGGTGATTGCAGCAGGGTGACACGTGGGGGATGAGGAACCTCTCTCTGTTTGGGCTGTGGTTCCTCACTGGATCTGGGGATTAGCAGTTAACCAGCAGATCGAAGGACCTGGAAATAAAGCAAAAGCAACCCATGGGGTTTTTTTTCTTTTTTTGGATGTTCAGATGGTACTCTTTATGGCAATCTGACAACTGTATCATGCTGATTAACTATTACAAGGGCTCTCTGCCTTTCTCCCTATTTTTATCTCTGAGCTTATTTTCTGTTTGTGATTAGCTGTTGTGTAACTGAATATTTCAGTTAATCCAGGTGAAATGATACATTGCTGGAGCGTTTGCATATAGTTGGAATCTCTTGTTGCAGCACAATGAATATGATACTTGCTTGTCCTTCTGTAAAAACAAAAAAGCATAGGCAGTGCTTTGGGGTTGCACACACTTGAAGTACTGTCGTGGCAGTGATCCAGCTATAAACTTGCTTAGTGCTCTACTTGTGGGGTGGAAGAATGGTGCAGCAGCACATTTGATTCACGAGGTTAGCTCAGCTTGTGCTCCAACACAACTTCACTGTTTGCTTCTAACTGTATTAACAATTTCTGCAGAAAGTGTTTGCATGTAAGTTCATACCCATATATATCACCAACACGTTTGTCTGTGTGGTTTTGCAGTAATGCTCTTCTGGTATTGAGTTGGACATAAAATGAAGGAGCTGATGGATGTGTTCTGGCAGACCTCAACTGTCCTACAGGATTCAAGCTTAATTTTCATGTAGCTGATTAATGCATTGATATCTGGGCTGGCAGGTACCGTGGTAAAACTGGATTTCAGTATGTCTCTTAGCATGTTGCCAACTGAAATACTGTAGTTCTTTGTTTCTGTAGTGGTGCTGTAGGAAAACTTCATGGGCCCCTTCCAGCTAGGGCTGTAATCTTGTTTTAGGGAGCACATTTTCAAAGTGGAATTTTGTAGGGAAGGAGCGAGGCGTGATGATGTGGAGCCATTCACCTCTAATTGCCAGTTGGATTTTGTAAGTTGGTACATGAGTAATTGGAAAGCTAGCTACTGCTCAGCCATGGGGAGTGGGTTGCCCCAAGTCACAGAGCCTGATAGACTGTATCCTGATATAGAAAGTTGGCACCAAAGTATGGGAAAAACATTGTGTCCCTGGACATGGAGAAGTGCTGGGCAAACACCCCTCCGGGCCAGGGTGGGAGGTGAAGATTTTAACTCCAAACTGGTGCTTTCTGATGATTTTGTACATAGGGGAGTGTGCCTAGGTCTTTTTATTCCTTAAAATAAAGGATGTATAGAAACACCCTTTAGAGGTATCTGTTAATGAAGATATTAACTTATAAACTGTTGAGTAGTTTGAGTAATGGTGGTGTTACTCGTGTGCTTTCACACACATTGGTGTGGGCAGGCAGAGAAGATGCTGCTCTGCTTTATACCCAGAGATTTTTGTCCCCTGTGTAGAAACCTTGCTGGGTGATATTGAGAGCACAGAGCACTGAATCTCCTCTCTGTGTGCACTGTTATTGTGCTGGGCCATGTTGTGGCACTGCAGTATTCATAGAACTATAGAATGGATTATGTCGGACAGGACCTTAAAGCCCATCTGGTTCCAACCCCTGCTGTGGGCAGGGCTGCCCCCCACCAGGTCAGGCTGCCCGGGGCTGCATCCAGCCTGACTGTGAGCACCTCCAGGGTTGGGCATCTATGGTTTCTCTGGGCAGTCTGTGCCAATGAGAAATCCCTTTGTTTTCTTTTTTTTTTTTTTAAAGAGGTAAAAAAGATGACCCTGTGGTTCAAAAACAAAATATGAACCAAGTATAAATCTCAAATCTGCAGACACCCAGAAACAGTAGCTCCTGTGGAGATTGCTGTTATCTATTTCTAGGA